GCATGTGCGCAAGGCGAAGTTAGGAATGCATGGTCTCGCAACGGGGGTCTGGACTAGGAATGAATATATGGGACGCAGTTGGCACGATAGACGACAATGTTCTCCAGGGAAGACGTACTCTTTTCCCGACGTTATCTGCAGCAGGGCTCACGGTCCACACATTCGAGCCATTAACCGGATTAGGAGCTGACAGCATAAAGTAAGAACGGAGGGCGTTTTCTAGAAACCTTGCTGGCGACCAGGACAAAACCGAGAGTGGACTACGAAGCCCATTGAAATCGTTATGTAAGACGTAGTCAAAGGCAGTAGGGATTATCTCGGTTCACTGGACGCCAATCAGATAGAGGGTAGCCGGCGCTGTCAACGGCAACAGGCTCCTGAGGTTATAAGCGGTGTATAGCAAGCTACCTTTATCATACAAGTAAGCCCTGTATGAATATAGTCCAGATGGAGCTCTTGTTCCACGCCGAACTCTCTGACGTTTGCCTAGGGACAATTAGACAGCCAATCTGATGGCCTGACTAAGCGGTCACGCTGGAAGGCTCGTTCCTGTCCTTTGGCCAACCTGCCGCCTCTGCATGCATCTGCTCTGATATAAATAAAAGAACGCTTGATGTGGTGTTAACGCTGTTATAACCTGAAGGAATTAACAAACCATTTCAGTTGTAAGACCTATGGAGTGATTATATATGATGTCCTATATTCCAGATGGTTGCTTTTTAATGACTAAACTCTGAGAGTATCTGTGATGTACCGGATGAAGTGAGCAACAACAAGAAAATGAAACAGAGTGCTGGAGAAGAGGCTGATGCAATGGGTGATCGCAAGTTTCAGTTGGTGTCAAGCAAGAGTCCCAGCAATCACAACTGACTATCTTCCGATAGTTTCCGGTCATTGTCTTAAAGGCCACCCGGTCTCCTTCTCTGACTAAAAACAGGCAAAGCGCTTCCTGTAAGCATGCTGGAGGTCATTGTTTCTCGCAAATAAAACATTTGGAATTTCAAAATTGAAAACCGACAATCCTGTAAAGCAAATAACCTGTACTGCCTGAATGTCGTGCTGACCATAGCCGCCGTTCAGTGAAAAAAGCCCCGCTTCATCCAGGGGCTTATATCGTCTTCAGGAAGTCGAAGCTGTTTGAAATTTTTGACCGAACTCCGCGAATTCGCATTGGAATCGCGACAAGTGCTGGATCGGTCCTGCACTTCCGTTCAACCAGGAAAACTTAAACTCTGAGCTTCAGCATGCTGATTTCCAATAACGGTATCTTCGTGATAAAAAAGGCGGTACACAACTAAAAAAGTACCATAAATTGCTCTTCTTCATGTTCGTGTTGGTCAACGGATGGCAGGAATAACTAGAAACGAACACCTTTACGAATGAAGGCGATGAGTTTCAGACAACTAATGCCTTCATACGGAATGGTTTGTACAAGATGCCATTCTCCAAAAATTACAACTGAAAATCTCTCAACTTTTACATATAAAACGAGCCAAATTCAAGCAGTTCTATCGGTCATTTGAAAGCGCATTCGGCGGACATCTTGCCTTTATAGAAATGTCAGCCTTTTTCCAAATTATATTTTTTATGAGTATCGGAATGGTTTTTTGCAGCTATTGATGAACATTTACATAAAGAGATAGGCACGAAAAATTGTTCAAAACTGCGAAAACTTGAAGCGCGCGCACACATATACTCGGATGTGGTAAAAATCAAAAGACTTTTGAAGGACTTACAGCGACTGATATTTTCTAATCATTTCTGGGTAAGATGTGGTTTGGTAGCCCCACCTGATGGACACAATACTGTTTAGGTTGGGGTTATGGTTAGGAGTTAGGGTTAATTGTTAGGGTTTAGGATAAAGGGCTAAGTTAGGGGCCACGGTTAGGGGTTGGGATAATGGGTCAGGGCAACTATTTCTCAACTGTTCAAAGTACAATCACGTATTCCCAGTAGCTTTCCTTTTGCATACAACTACTTGACCTCGTCGCCTGTGCGTCCCCCGACCCCACATGTAAAGACCCCTATTACCACTG